AGGCAGACCTCTTCCGCAGAGACTGGGGAACTGACGTGGCCACCTCCAGGGGCACATGCACTTCACACGTGTCGAATGTGGGGATTGCCATTCCAGAGTGCTAGGTGGCCTGGGGCATCCAGCAGTCCAGGCTCCCCTTTGACCAGGCCAGGATGTGCTGCAGTCATTCCTGTGACCTCCCAGTTTTGGAGGGGTAGAGAACCAGGGCGTATTTCAGCCACATGAGAGCATAGGGGGCGTGTGCAACACTGCCCTGCCCTCCTCATCCACCTACCTATGCCTCCTGCCCCGCAGTCAAGCGGAATTTCAGCAGCGTGGCAGCCTCATCAGGCAACACGACTCTCAATGGGGAGGACGGAGTGGAGCAGACGGCCATCAAGGTGTCTCTGAAGTGCCCCATCACATTCCGGCGCATCCAGCTGCCTGCTCGAGGCCATGATTGCAAGCACGTCCAGGTGAGCCATCCCATAGGAGCCACCTAGAATCTGGCTATGATGGGAAAGGGTAGGCAGAGGGGCAGCAGAGCCTATCTCTGACCCCGCCACATGACGTCATGATCATCAGCAGCTGATTTCACTCACTCACTTTAGCCGTCATTTATCCTTTGAGCATCTTCTCTGCATGCCCAGGGCTAGAGCCCAGGGGGCTACAGAACTAGATTTAGACAGTTCCTGCCCGGGCAGATGTCAGATGCCAGCTGGAAATCCCACACATATGGCCAGGGCTAGTTCAGGACCTGAAAGCAGGGATGCCTCTGCCTGATCCCTGCTGTGTTCCAGGTCCTTGCCCCGAGCAGGTACTCAAGAAATGGGTGGAATGAGTGACAGTCACAGTCTGGGTGACTACAACAGAGCATTGTGCAAATGCAAGCAGCCCAAGGTGGCAAGATTCACTGGGCTGGGGCTGCTCAGGGAAGGAATCCCAGAAGAGGGTTGTGAGAGGCCATCCCCAAATAGCCTGGGTGTGAGCCTGCAGAGTAGGAGGGAGGGAGAGGCTCTGGGACCTCATCCCCATCCTTTAACACAGCCTCCTGAGGACTTCCTAAGTGAGCAAGAATCTCCCTCCTTCCCTTCAGGAGAATATGGTGGGCACAGTGGACATCTGGTCGCTTTATTTGACACACACACACTGATGAACTGGGTCGCATGTGTCCTCAGTACCTGGGCTGGGCTGGTGGGAAAGCCAGAGTCCACACTGCCCACACTGTCCACACTGGCTATCACAGGCAAGATCAGTTAGGGGCTGCTACAGGGGAACCACGAAGGCTTCTTGGAGGATGTAGGCATGGGAATGGGTGTGAGGAGGGCTTGGCAGAGGCGTGAAGAAACTTGGCATGGCAAGTGTGCTATATGAGCAGCAGAAAAATGACATGATCGTCACTCTACCCAACAGCCAACCCTGGGTCTCTCCCACCGTGTCTCCCTCCCTGGTGAGAGGTCTCCATAAGGGTCTCAGGGGCAATTGCACTTGCATTGAGGCTGTTTCTAAGTCCTGATCTTATCTGTCCATCTGTCTGTCTGTCGGCCTCCACAGTGCTTTGACCTGGAATCATACCTGCAGCTGAATTGCGAGAGAGGGACCTGGAGGTGTCCTGTGTGCAAGTGAGTGACACCCACCTCAGCAGAGCTCCGTTGACCTCCGCTTGGCCCTGCTCTTTGGGGTCCAGCCACCTTCATCTGCCCTAAAAGCTAAAGAACCCAAGTATAGCAGAGAGGCTCATAGTGGGAGCTGTACATAATCCCTTTGTATCAAGCTGTCACAAGGCCACCCTCTCCTGTTAGTGCCTGTAATAGTGACCAGCGACAGGGATGGTGCCATTAACAGAGGGGAAGGGTAGCTGTTTCCCTACCCGCCAGGGTCCAGGCGCAAAGACCAAGCTCTTTCCTCTCCTTTTCCAGTAAAACTGCTCTGCTCGAGGGCCTGGAGGTGGATCAGTACATGTGGGGCATCCTGAATGCCATCCAGCAGTAAGTGGGCCTCCCCGGCTAGGGTCACATGGGGCAGGGTGGCGGGAATGCCAGCCTGGATTGAATAAGGTGAGCGCTGAACATCCCTCATACCCTCAACCCCTTCCCCACAGGCTGGCAGACCACTTTCCTATATCTCTCGCCTTTCTAGGAGTTTGCCCCTGGGGCTTCTATACATGCGGGCAAGTAAACTTTCCAGAACAAACCAAACTAGGCCAGTGCTCAGTGCCCTTGGCAGCCACTTGCTGGGTGGAAGGCTCCAGGGCCAGCAGCCACTTGCTTTTCCTAGCATCATTCTCTCCATCTCCCAAAAGATGTAAAAATCCCATACACCTCTATCATAGGCAGAGCCTGGAGAGAATGGGGCCAGAGGGACTGGGCAAGGACACCTCAATGTCTGTCCAAGCTGGAGACTCTTATGTCCAAAGCTCAGCTCCCTGAAGCCTCAGTTCTGTCCCCTTGATCCCCGCAGCTCCGAGTTTGAAGAGGTCACCATCGACCCCACGTGCAGCTGGCGGCCAGTGCCCATCAAGTCAGACCTACACATTAAGGATGACCCTGATGGCATCCCCTCCAAGCGATTCAAGACCATGAGTCCCAGCCAGATGATCTTGCCCAACGTCATGGAGATGATCGCAGCCCTGGGCCCTGGTCCATCACCCTATCCACTCCCGCCTCCACCTGGGGCCACCAGCTCCAATGACTACAGCAACCAAGGTAGGTGACGCCAGACAAGGAGGGCAGCTCCAAGTCCCACAGAAGACAGGACTTCTGTGCTGATGGTGGCAGGTGTTGGGTGGAGGGTGTGGTGTGAAGACACAGAGGCAACATATGCCCCTCAAAACAGCCCTGCGTCGCTGGACTTAGGGGTACAATGGCCTATGTGCCACCATCATCCCATCTCTGTCCAGCTTCCTGGTTCCATCTGGCCCTGTGGATTGGTGTCCAGCTGGGAAGCATGACTGAAGAGCTGCCCTGTGGCCAGCCTCCTGCCTTTCCCACCCCACCCTGATCAGCCTCCTCTCCTGACTCTAGAAGCTCCCAGGGACAGCTCTAGGCCGGCAGGTGCCAATCCCAAGGCTTCAGAGCCTGCTTTGCTGGGGGCACAGCTGGCACCCCTTCCCCAGCCTGAGTCCTCACCAGGACCAACAGAACACTCTCACCTGGAGTTCTTGGCCCTTCGCCAGCCCTTCCCTGTTTCTCTGTGACATCTATATTGTCCCTATCCCTGCAACTCTCACACCCTCCCAGGGACAGACTCCAGGGGCTTGGAGCTCCAGCCTTTGGCTACTGAGGTCAGCATCACTACCCTCTTATTCTCTGCTGCCCAGACCAAGCTTCACCTGTACTGCCCTTGGCTCTCAGAAAGTACCTATTGCCCTCAAGCACAGAGGGTGACAGCTCCCCAGTAGGATCCTGCTCTTAGGTCCCCAGCGCTCCTGGATGATTACAGACCTAGAGTGGTTAGCCCACCCAGCCAGAGTCCACAGCATGCTGAGGGCCCCGGCTTCCCAATGTGCTAGTCTTTTGACCTCTTGCCACGGCCACATACTGGAGGGAGCAGTGGCCAGAAAAGCCAGACAGCTGGTTTCTAATGGTATCATCTTGAGTCTAATGAAGCTTTCTTCATGAACTTGGCAGATGTGGGGCATTCTCTCCCCTTCTGGACCTGGGTTATCTCAGTGATGAGGTGCAGCCATGTGGGGACAGTGAGAAGAAGAGGTCTGAAAGGCTAGCTCAGAATATCCTGTGGAAGGCTGAGACTTGGGTCTCATTCCACGTCCCCTCAACCCACAGGAGCCAGGCCCACCCCTTTCTCCCACTCTGCCTCTCCTCGCAGCTGTAGAACAGCACATGCCCTGGGGGCTGAGGCCCACTGGAGAACGCTGCATCACTGCCCCATTGCGCAGCCCGGAGGCTAAAGCTGCAGGAGCCTACTCTGGCCTCGCAGGAGGACAGGACTCGGTTCTTAATTTACACACTGCCCATCCCCCCAGGCTGGATGTCTGCCCTCTAGGTGACCCTCCCACCCCCACCATCTTGTTCTCTCCCAGGCAACAACTACCAGGGTCATGGCAACTTTGATTTCCCACATGGGAACCCTGGCGGGACGTCCATGAACGACTTCATGCACGGACCTCCCCAGCTCTCCCACCCCCCGGACATGCCCAACAACATGGCCGCCCTCGACAAACCCCTCAGCCACCCCATGCAGGAAACTGTGAGTACCTCTTCCTCACCCCATCTCCCCCACGCCCCCAGCCCCTGTGTTGGGCTGGTGGGCAGAGGGCTTTTCTGGGACCTTTCTAATGTTTGCCTAGTTCCCTCTTAGGCAAAGGGGAGGACTGAGAATTGGATCTAGGAGCTCAGAAGGAAGTGAGAGGCCCAACTGAGGCTGGGTCATAGCCTGTCAATGTCCTTGGACTTACCTCTTTCACCCAGGATATCGGATTCTCAGGAGATGGGGAAAGCTTCAGGCTCTCCCCACATGCACACGTGTATGCATGCACACCCCCCATGTACAAGCCCATCCACACCCCCACATGCAATTCCCTCATTTACACACAGTCTCACACTGACTTACTATAACCCCAGCCATCTAGAATTTTGTCCCAAGTCCAGGCTCTTAGTCCCCAGAGGTCTGAATCCTTGGTTCTACTGACTCCTACAGAAAGAAATGCTAGGAAGTCTGCTTACCCTGAGACTATTTACTCCTAGACCTGTTTTACATATTAACATATATTCTGCATTGCTGAGAAGGCCTCTTGCAGGTAAAGGTTTCCCGTGCCGTCCAAAGGCCTCCCTTTCCTGTGGCTGTGGCAGCAGTGGTAGGAGGCCTGGCCACTTCTTGAGAGCTCGTCTAGTGAGCACTGGATGATTTCGTTTGATTTAAGATTCCTAATCCTGTGCTCTGGGCCAGGCCTTGTACCAGGTGTAAGCAAGATGGACACAGGCCTTGTGCTAATGGAGCAAAAAGTCCAGCAGGGCCTGGATAGGAGAAGAAGTTGGGATTTGGGGGAAACTGAGGCCTGAAGGCTGAAGTCTGAGGTCTTGGTGATTCTGTCTGTTCCTGATCCCTCACTCTAGGAAAGAGGAAGAGTGGCAAGAGGGTAGTCACTGAGGGCCTGGCAGTGGATCTTGGGCCATACCAACTAAAGAGGAGGGTCCTGTTTGGTAGCAGGGTTAGATGGTCCTACATCAGAAGGTGCCACTCAGGTCTTCCCACCCTCCATCATGTGGCTGGAAGGAAGGGAGGAAGGAGTCTCTGCATTATACTTGTTCCATACTCATGACGTGGAGTTGGCTCTGCCACTGGGCCAGGGCTATCCTGTGGGCCACAGCCACCTGATTCTTAGTGACAATGACAGTTAACCAGGAATCCGGGTGAGGGGCACTGTAGCAATTTTCCCTTGGGACCCCAGAATGCCAGGTTGGAAATAGCTGCTTTCTTGGGGGCTTCAGCCACATTTTTACAAGTTACTTTCTGCTCCTTGGGGCTTCTGACTTCTGGGTGCCTCTCTCCTGCCCGCCTTCCCCCACCCTGCTCCCCAAGACCTGAGCATTCCACACCCACACACAGTCACATCCTGAACCCTCACAATTCCCAACACTGGAAAATGGCAGCAGGATGCCATATACTTCTGTGTCTAACAAGACTTTCTCCTGCCTTGTTAGCCCTGAACCTGCATTCTTCAGAGGGACCTGCACCTATGAGTTGACTTCACAGTTCCCCCCACCAGTATGCCTCCTGGATATGCACTGTCTTTCTGCATTTCTGGGCTCTCTCTAGATGGCAGCTGGACCCAGAAGTACAGATGTGCAAACTTGGGTGGTACGGTCACAGATACATTCCCCACACACCTGCCCAACCAGAGCAGGCTCCCCCCAGCGGAGCGCAAAGCTGGGAAGGATTCCCGTGCGCGCAAAGACTTACGAGAGAGCTCTGACCCGGTGCTGGTTTGCCCAAGGACTCTCCCGTGCCAGGTGGCAGATTGACAGGTCTGTCAGCAGGTCCCCGAGAGCACCTGCCCTTCAGGTCCTAAGACAGTCCAGAAGATGTCAAAGTCAAAGAGGACAGCTGTGTCAGCAGATCCAGTGACTGTCCTGGGCTGGGCTACCCCAGAATGGGCATGGTGGGGCATCCGTAGGCATGGGTGGGAGTCAAAAGCCTGCCTTACTGACAGCAGTGGTGGCCGTCCCTCCAGCCTCTCTTGGTCCTTCTTACCTCATGCACATCCCACACATGGTGCCTCAAGGTTACCAACCCCAAGCTGGAGGGTCACTGTGCTATGAGGGGCCACCTGGACCATGGGCAGAGGCCAGCCCACAGCCTCTGTGGAAACAGCTTTCAGGAGAAACAGGAAGAAGAACTAGGGTCTAGAGAAAATCAGGAAGGGGTACAGCTGCCATTTTCAGATTCATAAATGAAAAAATAATGTTTCTGTGGGGCTCAGAAGATGGAGAGGGGAGGGGCTTACTAAAAACCAAGGAGTCATTTGGTCACCGGGCTGGCTACCCTTTGAAGCAAATGGCCTAGCAAGCTAGTGAGCTCCCCTTTACAAATAGAGAGGGGATGGGGGAATGGGGCGCCTGCCTCTTAGAGATGCTGGGAGTGGGGTGAGGGCTTGGATTCAGGCTTTTTCTCCGAGATCTGAACTCTAAAGGAAGGGTGCTTGGAACAGCAAACAGACTATCGGGGGAAGTTTAAATCCCACCCACCACATGCTCCCCACCCATAGGCCATATTCAGTGCATATGTGCAAGGGAGAGCCTGGGTCCTCTAGTTCATCTGTCAGAGAAGCACGATCTGCCCCTACCTGAGCAAGGCACGCCCTTGGTGAGCCCTGGTACCCTAAGAGATGTGGAGGTGCCTGCCTTCCTCAGCACCCTAGGGATTCAGCCTGTATGTAGCTTCCTAGATGGGCGGCCAAAGAGTCTGGCAGTGCTGAAAGGCCCCTACTCTGTTCCTTTGACATCAACTCAGTTTCATCCTCCAGGGCAGCAGGCAGGGCTTCTGTCAAGGCCGATGGAAGGAACCTGCGTGCCCAGTACTGCCCCTGCCCAGGGCCCACTTGGGAGGCGCAGACCCACTCCCGAGCTGCATGCCTGCCCCATGCTGTCTGTCCATGTCTGCTCTCCACCGCCCAGGCCCTTGGGGGCCTGCACCACGCTGCCAGCAGCACCCCTCTTACCTCCCCACTCCCTGGAAACATGCCCATTTTGCTTCTTCATCCTGCCCTCGCTGTTATTCATTGTGGTGGTGGTGGTGTCCTGGCTCTGGAGGCGGAGGGGCTTGAAGGGCCTGGGCCGCACTCTCAGCATCTGTGCTTGTCCAGAGCCCCTGGCCGCCTCCCTTCCGGCCCCACGTGGCCTGAGAGGTCCTTCCTCCACCTTCCTCTGCACAGCCTCCCTGACTGGCAGTTTTGGGGGAGGATTTTGTCTATTTCTATGCAAAAAAACAAAAACAAAAACAAAAACATTCAACTTTGTAAAGGGGTGGCTTTGTTTTGGGGGTTTGTTATTTTCCTGGTTTTGTTTGGTTTTCATTTCTCCAGGCATCTCGTTGCTGTACCTCGTCACCTCACCTTTCTTTTCTCCTGCTCTCTCCTCCTCCACAGATGCCACACGCTGGCAGTTCTGACCAGCCCCATCCCTCCATACAACAAGGTTTGCACGTCCCACACCCCAGCAGCCAGTCAGGGCCTCCATTACATCACAGTGGGGCTCCTCCTCCTCCTTCCCAGCCTCCCCGGCAACCGCCACAGGCCGCTCCCAGCAACCATCCACACAGCGACCTGACCTTTAACCCCTCCTCAGCCTTAGAGGGTCAGGCCGGAGCGCAGGGAGCATCCGACATGCCGGAGCCTTCGCTGGATGTAAGTTGGGGTCTCCACTTGCCTTGGCCTGGGACTAGGCCTGGCGCCTGGGACCTGCCCGAAGAGCAGGGGTGGGTGTTGAGGGCTCAAGGCCTGGGTGGAGGAGGTGTAGCTGTGAGGGGGCGGGTGGGTGGCAGATGGGCCCAGCCAGCCTGCTTCCCCTGGCTCCAGAACCAGGGAACCCCACAATGGGGGAGCCTCACCAAGGGTCCGAGCATTCCCTGCCCCACCCTGCCAGCCCCTGCCCCCTGTCCCCTTGGCCAAAGTCCTGCAGTCCAGCCCTGACCCGCCTTCTCCCCAGGCCCTCGTAGAGTCCCTCTCAGCCTGGGTCTGGAAGCAGCACAGGAAGCTCCCTGCCCTTCTCCCCACCCCCCTCCTCCTATCCCTCTCCTCCCACATTGAGCTTGCCATCTCCGTGTCTGCCACACTCTCTGGCCCGAGGCAGGGGAGGGGCTGGAGTGACAGGGCCCCTCTGTCTCGCTGGTGTATGTCTGTCTCCAGTTTCTTGTCCGTGTGTTATCCATGCCCTGTGCTTCTGCTTGCTCCATCACTCACTCTGAGAGAGGCCCCTGTATGGGGTGATAGTAAAATCAGCCTTGGGTCACATGGGGGTTACCGAGGCGGAAGTGGGTGGCTGAAATGCAGGGGTCTCCAACCTTGAGACCCGGATGATCTGGAAGGTGGGAAGGGGTGCTGTGACTGTGGGGGCTGGGCAGCTGACCAGGGCTGGACAGGAAGGAATACAGAACTTGCCCCTCCCATTCCAACATCTAGGCTCTGGATTTTCAGAAAAGAGGCCTGCCCTCTCCTCAGCCACTCCTGTTCTTCACGTCACAATCCCACTGTCACCGTTGGCCCCAGCAGTGTCAGTCTTTGTAGTGAATGGGTTTCACTCAGTTGTGCGGCCATCTTGGATTCTCACCCAGCTCTCCTCCCCAAAGCAGGCCAAGGGTGGGGTGCTTTTAGATTTATGAGGATCCCCCATGTGACAGGAAGACTCCAAGGACCTTATGGTAGAGGGCAGGGACAGACAGCCCGCAGCCTCTGCCAAGGGGTCACAGGAAAGGAAGGTGTTATCAGCTGGCCATAGGCTCGCCAAGGAGCCATGAGCTCTTGGGATCCCGAGGTCCAGGGTGATAGGAACTGCAGAGACCACTCACCCTACATGCAAAATAGTTTCTGCTGGGAGGCCCACTCACCCTATGGCTCCTCAGGGAAGTGTGTCAGGGGGCCTGAGGAACATTCTGATCATGAGGAAGCCTCTTGACCCACCATGGGCCTTCCCAGCTGGTGGGCTTGAAATAAGCATGGGTGTACCCTAGACCAGCACAATGGCCTAGATGCATCTGGGGACAGCCAGCGTTGTTAGTTTCCCTGTTTGGGCCAGGACCCCAGGAGGCAGGTAAAGGGCAAGTGAACAGGCGTGGGGGTGCCGCTGCATTCCTTACCTAGCCCCTCAGCCAATACCTCATCTGGGCTTCTGTACTTTTTTTCCAGCTCCTTCCTGAACTCACAAATCCCGATGAGCTCCTCTCGTACCTGGACCCCCCCGACCTGCCGAGCAATAGTAACGATGATCTCCTGTCTCTCTTTGAGAACAACTGAAGCCCACCCTCTTTCGGGGCCATCCCTCCCCACTCTGCTCCTTCCCTATCTGTCCCCCACACACTTTCCTGCTGGGAGCCCATGTCCTCAGACCGCCCCTGCTGCAGCCTTCTCAGAGCAGAGGGGCGGGAGGGTGCACTCTGAAGGCTGTGTGGGTCTGGAGCCCATGCCCAGAACAGGCCCCGAAGATGACCCTCGCGATGGGGAGCCAGCCGGTGAGAGGGCATACACTGACGATGACTTGCTGGTCCCTCTGTGTGTGCTGATTCCAAATGACCAGTGGCCCCCAGGTTCTTCCAGTTTCTAAACTGTAACCCTGCCTCCCTGCTTCTTGGCCCAGAGCCTCCTTCAAGTGACTGAGCCTGAGAGAAGGCCTCCCCGAAACCCAAGCAGCCCCGAACCTTGGAAAAGCAGTGACAGTTGGCTGCACTGAAAACAGCCCACCCACCACCACCACCAACAACAACAACAACCACCCACCCATCACAGAAAAGCACAAACCTCTGGGAAAGAGAACTCTAGGGGCCAAGGTCATCATTTTGACCCTGACCTCTAAGCCAAGATATCGTATAAACACTCTCTCAAAGCAGAAAAAAAGGACAAGATTCTGTTTTTGAGAGAGGGTGTACTATTCCTGCTTGGGGACTGGTGGTGAAAGGGATCAGGGCCTCCTCAGAGCAAAGACAACGCAGCAGGTGGCTCCATGACCTTTGGACTCCAGCCTGGGCCCAGCCTTGGGGGACAGAGAGAGCGAGTACTCAGCCGTAATTATTGTGCCCTTAGTTGAGGGGCAGGGGAAAGCTACCAGGTGGAGTCAATAGGAACAGCAACTTAAAACTGCTCCAAGCCACTCCCTGTTTTTAAACAATAATGTAAAGCTACAAAGTCATCTGGAGAAAAGGAACATTGGACTTGGACAGCAAGCGAACCATTTCTCTACATGCGTTCTGTTTCCTCCCTCCTGCTTCTCGCCCAGACTGTTACATGGGACACCCACTTCCCTCTGTACTGGTTCTCCTTTGTCTCCCCAGACGGCAAGGTGGGATGGTGGAAAGACATGGGAGATGCGGGCTCGGGCGCACGTGCGGGCTTAGCAGCAGGAACCCCAGCATCGGTATCTCTCCTGCTCCTCTGTCCGTCTGTTCCTGGGCTCAAGGTCGCCCATGTTAGTTGGGATATATCCACGAGCATAGAGGGGTGTTTCTGTGGTTGTCCCACTGCGCTGCCAGCCTCTCATTCCCTCTGTGCCCCTCTGCCCTCAAAAGCTTCGTCCATACCCCTCACTTGAGAAGCAGCCTCTGGTTTTCCCTCACCGCTTTGCTCCGCCCAGCTTACTGCTCTCCAAGTCTCCCAGGTATCTTGTACGTCCGTTTCGTTTCAGGCTCCTCTGTGCTCCCCTAAGCCACATGGCCTGGGATGCTGCTGGGCTGTCAGGTCACTTGGGTCACATCTGTAAATTTGTTGCTCCCCTCCCTTCTGCTTCCTGGGGCCTTTCCCTGCTCTCCTGTCCACCACGTGTATGCTCAGTCTCCGTCTCCCTCTTAGTGGCGGGTGGTCCCCAGCACTCCTCTGGACTTGACCGGATGGGCAGCTCCAGCTGTTGATTTCCAGTCGCTTTACCAGACGCCAGCACAAGGTTTTCTGTAGGAAAGCTGCCATTGTCCGTCCCCTTGCCTTTTTTCCTTTGTCCCGTTGTCGAGGTTTTTTCAAACAGTGTGGTGTTCAGTATGCAAATCAATTATTTTATGAATTGCTTTTGTAAATATCTTTGTGAATATTTTAGTATCGTCTTTGATAATATTCAACATTTTCATGACCTGGTTATAGCCTTTGCTGGTGTTTTTAAAATACCTTGACTCAATGACAAAGACCGAGTCCTTTTTTAAAAAAAAAAACAACAACAAACAAAAACAAAAAAGCAACCAGGGCTATTTGTACAGATGAAGGGACGAAGAGCATGGGTGGCTAAACCGTGAGTTAGACAACCAGGCCCCCCACTGTTTAGAGCCATCCCCAGTTGTCTGGTGGGGACAAGGTGGCTCCAGGTAGCATATGGCCGTCCTTGCCCAGTGGCTGACAGCCCCGGCAGGTAGCCACACTGTGTTGGGCCATGTCGGAATGTTCCGCCCCAGACAGACTTACAGATGCCTTCCTTAGAAGTTCCTGCTTCCTGCCGTGCTACTTTTTCCCAGAAAGGCCTGGGGTTCGTTCTCATTTTTATTGGGCTGTCCCCACTCTGCTCACCGACCTGTCCACCGCTTCCTAATGCAGAGGGTCGATATGCTCCCCACAGCCCCGGCCCCAGGCACCTCCCTTAGCCATCTCTGTGGAAGCCGTGGCTCGGCACCCGAGGCAGGTTTCCCGGGTCCCCTTTTAAGCGAGCCTCCACCAGCAACTTCAGCAAAGAACTTTTCCTGAACCATGGTGCCTGAAGCCTGTGCTCAGGGGGATGTACTTTCGGAGTGATTTTGGAGCTAGGCCAGGGAGCAAGGGGAGGCACAAAGGCCTTGGGGGCTAGGAAAGCCCCAGCTGGTGACAGATTCAGATGACGACAGCCTCCCCAAGCAGGGGCGGTTCTGAACTCGGGAGATGCTTCCCTGATCCTTTTGGACAACTACTTGGAGCCATAAGTAACCTCAGCAAAAAAGAGGCCTCAGCAAGCCACTTCTCCATGACAGGCATCCAACCCAGGCCATAGGCACGTTTTTGCTGCCACTCCACAAGATGGACAGGGCGCCGGCTGGCAGGTGGGAAGGCCCAAGTACAGGCAATCACCCCATCTTCTTGGTTTGAAGCTTTACCCATGTGTCATGTTCCCTGTAGCCATTTTATTTTTTAAGAGACTTCTAATACTGTCTCCCTAATGGAAGCCCTAACCCCCCTCCTCCCCCTCCCAGAGAGCTACACGTCTGCTCCCTCAGCCTGACCCATCCAGATAGGGCGATGTCAGCAGCAGCGACTCAAAGGACGTGTGTACATATGTAAATGAGAAATAGAGACATGTTAACAGATGCATTCATTTCCCTTGGAATGTGTATTGTTTTTATTTTACGAAACAAAAAAGGCTTGGAACTCCATCTTAACGTGGAAAAACTAGATCCTGTTTGTTAGCGTTTGTGAGGTCTCTGCATCTGTCTCACTCATGTAATATACTCGGACCCTGTGTGAAAAGGACTTTTTGTTCTGTTTTGTTTTTATTTTACCTACATGTACTATTTAGCTTCAGTGTACTAGTCCTGCCACCTGTGTATTTTTAGGGTGCTATGGAAATGATGACAAGAAATGGGGATTTCAGAAGAAAATTGTAACCAGATTCATACTTTGTATAATTTTTGATATCATGATCGCAGGTGATCCACACGTACACACATAAACATACCCACAGTGCAGCCCGAAGTGACCCGCAGGAATCGTCATCGTCTTTGTACATCTATGTACAATGCAACCATTTCATACTTTAAACTGGTCAGAAAAGTAATTGTGATTTCTAGTCTTGCAAAGCTGTATGTAGTTAGATGATGTGACAACCTCTAATATTTATCTAATAAATATGTATTCAGATGAAACCTGTATATTAGGTGTTCATGTGGTTATTTTGTATTTAAAGATCAAATTATTTGACTATTGCTAGACATTTCTATACTCTGTTGTAACACTGAGGTATCTCATTTGCCCATGTTAATTTTTTTCTAAATAAATTGACAAAAACGAAGGTTTGGCGAATTAGCTATTTTGTGAACGTTAAGGAGTGGTTTGGGTGTTTTTGTTTTTGCTTTTAAACCACCACCACCCCTGCCTGACCACCCTGGAAAAAAAAAAAAAGGGAAGAAGAGGCAGAGAGAAGGGGAGAAAGAAAAAGAAAGGAGAGAGCGAGAAAGCGAAAAAGGAAGGGAAAGGAAGAAAGGGAGGGAGGAAACAAGGAAGGAAGGTGGTTTGGGTGTAGATTTGGAAGAGCCCCTGCCGTAGGTGTCCCTGGAAGAGGCTCTGAAACCTAGCATGAGAGTGTTCAGAGTCCGGTGCCCTCACCTTATGGTGGGACCCTGGTCTCTAGCCCCTGGGGGTGAGATAGGCAGGGAGAAGACCCCGGTGGGGTGCTGGCCTATCTTGTAGCAAGCAACCTTGCAGATTTTCTCCATTGAAGGAACAGGAACCTATTTCTCCTGTTAAGTCCAGAGGGCGCTGTCCAAAACCTTCAGAAATGAAGAACTAGAAGCACAGGTGTCACAGAGCCCGGAGTGTCGACTCGGCCGCTCTCCCTGCTGGCTGTCTCTGGGTACCCCACTCCTCAGCACCCCTGCCCCCATCTCCTCTAAAGGGACCTTGGGTTTCCTCTTTTCAGTGACTGCACTTTAACATGGGGTTCTGCTTCAGTCCCTACCTAGGTCACCGTTCTAACTGTCCTTACAGCCTCAGCATCTGACAGAAACTGACTGTTCTTCCCGTGTCTCACTGAAGTTTGGGGAAGTGAATCTCAGAGTCCATCAGCCAATCAACGCCCCTCTTCCACATAGCCGGGCAATGGGGAAAAAATGGCTGCTGCGGCTTTCCCTCCGCAGGGACCGGGTGAGGGCAGGTCCAAAGAAGGAAGGCGGGGCTGGCAGGCACCTCAAAATATATCTCCTGGAGTATGTTTGGGAATGTGTGTCTGGAGGATGTGAGATCTAAGTGTGACGGGTGTGTGTGTGTGTGTGTGTGTGAGTGTGAGTGTGTGTGCAGGAGCAAGCCAGTATGAGGGGTGCATGGTCCAGGATGGGTGCATGGTCACATCAGTGACAGAACTACCTGTGACAATTGGGTGCCTGGATTTCTCCACCTCTGGGGCTTCTCCAAGATGGTCAGTTTCTCTTTTTGGTGAGAGGTGGAAGATGAGGAGAAAAGGAGAATTTACATCAAAAGTGGAATCCTGGTCGCTAAACTGCAGGCACTCCCTTCTGGCAGCATCACCAGGGTAGGAAGCACGATGCTGTCTCTGAGTGTCTTCGAGAACAGACACTTCGGAGAGGAGGAGTGGGGGGCATCAGGGAAAGCTTTGAAAAAGGGACCACCCCCACACCCCGTTGCCTTAGAGCAGTGCTTCTCTACCATGTCCTTGAGTGACCCGTGAAATCAGTTTGATGGATTGTGATCGCTTTTAAATGAAATAAATGAAGATAAGGAAGAAACATCAAGGGCACCCTACAAAATAAGGGTGAGGATTCCATCGTGAAACTTGTTGCAGTTGTGTGTGTGTATCTGCTGAATCATGATGTAAAATTAATTCTCACTTGTGGGCTGTGGTTTAAAAAAGTTTGAATGCCATTGCCTTAAAGGCAGGAAGTGGGCAGGGGGGTGAGGAAGGAGAGGCAGGGCAATATGCTCCCTTAACTTCACAATAAACAAATCTTCCTGGCATTCTACTTTAGAGCCTGAAATCATCAATGCGGCTAAATGCAGTTCTGTGGCTACCTTGCAAGGCTGCACTGAAACCCTGCTGTCTACCCCACTAATACCTCCTGAGATCGGTTACTTTCTCCTGTGGGCCTGGAATAAGAAAAGCCCTGTCCAGGGCAGCTTGGAGTTCAGCACCCCTCACTGCTTCCCTTCCCCCCAACCTGGGGCCACTCGTCACATCCTCCAGCTCACGGGTCATCTTGGGTTTTTGTTCTCCCTACTCCACCCTGCAAATCTTCTACCCTAAATCCAATGACTGCCCCTCCACATAAGGCCATGGGGTGTTGGGGAAAGTCATTTGGCCCCACAGGAGGATGCTAGGATAATCGGGCTCCTCAGGGCATGGTCTCCCTGCCAACTCACCCATTTCCCTTGTCCTCTGCTCCAGCCTCCTGCTCAATCATGCCCACCTCACTCTAAGCAGGTTACCCAACCATTGCACAAACACCAATAACTCCCCCCGCCACCCACAAACCTACCTCCCTTGGCCTTATCTTCTCCTGCCCAGGCCCACAGGATGTGGTATCCCTTCTACAGTCAAAGCTAGCCCTTCCCCAGCTTCTGACATTATCACCTCCTCTTCTGGGAGGGACTTCACTCCATCAGCCAGCCCCTTTCCTGTATCCAGCTCTGGAGCTTTGGGCCCTGACGTTGAGAGATCTAACAGCCTGCATCCCCTTTTCTGTCCAGTCTCCCTACTACTTCTCAGGCAGACTTCTCCATGAGGAAACTGCCCATGCTCACTGTCACCCATCATTTTTGATGCCCAGTAGCCTATGTCTCTGAAGTCCTCTGAGACTTCTCTTACAAGCTCACCTATAACCTCTGGTTACTAATGTTCTTGCTGCTTTTAGAGATTGAACCTCACATCTGCATTTGACTAATGCCATTTCTTTCTTGAAATTCTCTTAAGTTCCATGACAATCCCCTCCTCTGGGTCTTCGGTTCTCCTTGAGTCTCTCTGACTGTGCCTTCTTGGTCACTTTCACAGGTTCCTATAGAAAATAGGTACTGTGGTGCTCCTTTGAGCTCTTTTTTACTGGCTGGCACACATCTATCCACAGCTATGGGTATTGGTTGCCAGCAGCTCACAAATTCTCTTCACCAGAGAATTGCCCTTAGCAGACAGGGAGGCACATGCACGCATGCACCACTGTCAAGAGGCCCACAGCCTAAAGGTCATCAAAGAACAGCTCTTTGCTGGACTGTGGTCAATATTCCACAGTCTTCTCTGTTGGGGTTGAGGACACGTGCTCCCCTTCTCTGTTCCGTCTCACTTCCTCCCTAATCTCAGGTTTCCTGAGAGCAATGTCTAGTAAATCACAGGATTCTGAAGGTCTGCCTCAGACTGCACTCCTGGGAACCAGATGAAGACAGGGGTACCAGGCATGGGCCTGGGTGGCAGCCTCTTAAAATAATATGCTGGAGGCAGATCACTGACCAGGTTGGAAGAGGTCCCACCACTGGTGATAGTCGTGGGCATGGGGCAGCCGTGCATCTGCTATGACTTTCCCCTGCAGGGAACTGGGATGACGCGCAGGTGGCAGGACTGTACCAGCTGGTGCAGTGTCTCCAGCATTTGAGAGGTAGAATAATAAACTATTAAGAATATGGAATTGAGTGGCTATTGCTCAGTGTCACTGATTCATTAAAGAAAGGAAATTACAGTCTCATATCTCAATCAGTGATTTAAAACAGAGTGTGAGAGTTCACAAAAAGCTCTTGGCAGGGAGCATTGAAACACGCTTATCTCCTACAGCTAGAAGGCAGAGTGAAGACCACCGAGACTTCATCGAAGGAGTGGCAGAACCTCAGAAAAGGCTGAATGCTCTGCAGGTCTCCTAAACCCAGATCAGTCCCCTGCTAGGGAAGGAGTGAGCCCCCAAGACCTGGGATGGGGACAGCTGCACCAATACCGCTTCATTGGCAAATATCTACTGTCACATGGCAAATATCTATTACAACCAGCTGACAGGGGAGAATTCTCAAGCTTGATTCACAGCTGAGACAACTTGGTGATGTGGGTGCAAGCCACAAGTGGACTGAGCCTGCACTACGGCTCCACTCCAGGGTGCCCCTGAAAGACCGTAATGAGAAGGAATCCTTCCAGTGAGCAGACATGGGGGCAGTGCACCTCGTCATCTACTTGGCATGGAGACAGAAGTGACCTGAGAAAAGGATATACATGCACTCAGGGGCAGTGGCGAATGGCTTAGCTGATCAGAGGCCTGGAAAGAGCAGGACTGGATTCAGGGGCAGGAGGACTGGGAAGGAGATATGTGGATAGATTGCCCCCTGTCCTGGGATACAACACTAGACTTCTGGGGGTGCCTGCCCACCTTTATCTGCCTACCCTGGAAACTGCCACCTGCCTCTGCTGAAGAGCAGTCATGTTCAGCCCCCCACAACCAAACTCCCCTCAGCCAGCTAGACCAGGATGGACACATGACCCAAAGGATTAGGTAGCCAGAGACTAATCATATTATCTCCCTCACTTAAGAATTTGGTCTGAGACACAAAGACTGCAGGATGGCCACCTGAGGCCCCAATTGGGCCAGAAGCCTGGTCTCCTATCTGACCTCTTCCTGCTCCTAAAGGCTGTTGTTCAGCTCTATCTTTGCCTAGGACTCATTCCCTCCCCTCCAGACTACATGTCTACTTAATCTTTATGAATTTTCTAATATCAAAAGTCAAGTCTTCTAACCTCTGTCACTAGACCCAAAGGAGATGTCTCACTTGTAATCGGAAAGATGCCTGTTACAATTGGAATACATATCAAAGATATGGCCCCAGTTGCAATGGGCTTGAGAAATTCTGAGATCCCACCAGTTACCCTCTCTCCCTATTACTACTGCTCACTGTCCAGGACCCAGTGTCATTCCTAAGAGGCAAGAAAGACTGCCCTAGCCAGAGTACTACTGGTGAAGAAACACCTAGACCCACAGCCGCTGCCCAGCAACTCCCCAGGCTCTGTCTTTGGGTCGGTTTTATAGTCATATACTCGATGTGGCCCCTGGCTCCTGAAGTGGACATTTTATGTCTTGCCTGCCCAGCACCCTCCCTTATTCTGTGCACAGTACTAGCTTCTTTTTAAAAATCACTCTGCTCCTCTTTCTGCCATTCTCTGATATGTAAGCTGGGTTATGCTGCTGTAATAGATAAACACTGAACTATCAGTAGCTTAATACAATGCCTATGTCTCAGCTTAATGTGGGTGTTCTCGGTTGGGCACCATCTATGTGGTCACTCATGAACTCAGGTTCTTCTCACCTTATAGCTCTG